AGTGTACATTTTTAATTCATACCAAATACTGTGATGTTTCCGGATTGCGTCGTTGCCAGGCGACGGCTCCTTTTGGATTGTTGTTTGTTTTATTAGCTGTTGTTATTGCTGCTGCTGTTCCACCTTTTTACTGTTATTGTTGTAGTTGAACATGTTATTTTAAAATGTTCTTTATTCGGAACTCTGTCCGCTTCAAAACCTAAGATATAGGTATTACTATATGTATAGCTCTGTCGCAGCAGAGCATAATTAAGAGAGAGTGTGTGGTATGTGCATGCATTAGTGAGTACATATATGGTACTCTTGGTATATAAGCCAAGCGTGGGATATGCGCCGTCAGCTAAACGGCCAGCTAGAGTACTAGCGGTCCGCGCTGCGTAATATGAGCCTGAGTCAATAAACTCAAGTGGCTCTGCTTTTGGCTATATGTTTGTTATTTTATGCAACAAAGTGTCGCATACTTATATATTTAAATACAGGGTGTTATTTAATGCATATACACACTACACCTTAACCTTAGGATAGTCGATTAATATGTGAATAATGCTATGGAATTGAAATACTCTAATAGTAGATACTGCCATTAAACTAACTGTGGGGACCTCTGTGAGCTGTTCGGCAAAAATATACTTCAAATCATTGTGATCAAAAATTACGGGATTTATTATATTGGATTTGGCGAGTGTGGTAGTGAGCATTAGGTTTTGTATTTCTGTAATTAATATTCTGTTTCTCGCTAGTAGCGTTTCATACATATGCGCGGAATCTACTAATTTACCCCTTTTTTCTTTAAGTATTTTATTAACTGTATCGGTGAGTAGATTGATTTGTTTCTGCGTTTTTGTGTCAATTATTAGTTGTCTATTCAGTTGCTTTGATTCTTTCAAGCTCCGTCGCGTCAGGAGTACCTGCCACAATTTTTAATGCCGTTCTGCCAATCTGTAGTAATTGTATAATTGCGTGTTGTAGGTGTGATAAATTTGCAATTACCTCGGATTGTCCTTATGGACAGTCGTTCCTAGGTCTGCTTATACATATGTTCCCTCTACAACATAACGTGTATAACTTATTTCCCAATCTTTTGTTATTTTTAAGATAATAATGATATCTATATTATATTGGCTCTTTAATTATGAAGTGATCGTTTCAGAATTGAACGACGCTTCATTATCGCAGTATATGGTTTTTGTTTTTGGTAAGATATTAATTAATTGTAAGATATTAATTATATATTAATAAAAAAAAAAAATATTAATTAATTGTAAGATAGGCCCTGTTACGTCTGTTATTGCGCTGTACAACAGCAATTTTAAAAATTTGACACCATGACACCATGTTTTTGCAGTGCCAGAATTTAGTCATTGGGAACAGTGCTACCAACTCGTGTTGAAAAAGGCCAAAGTTGGGAAGTTACAATGGAACGCGTTTACAAAGCCAGGATTCACTAAAATGTATTACGTGGCGGGTCTTATTGCCAAACATAATCAGTCTGCGATGCAACTTATAGCATGCCTCTTTTAGAATCACTTGATTCCTAAAACAATTTAAAGGGTTGTCAGTTGTTTCGATCGTGTATGTCAGGGAAAGTTCACTATGAACGGTGGCTGCGTCTGATTGCGGCTCGAATTGTAGGGTATTGATATCCTGCCTCGAAGTCTGCCACGAAGTTTTCTTTCCCCGGTTTGAAATGGATACTGGCTTTATGTTCTTCAATAGAAGCTTTCCACCTTTGGTCTGTAAAGATGTGTAATTCTCTGGTACCATAGTGCTGCTCCTATACCACTCGCCGAAGCGTCAGTCGTCAGGTCGAAGGGTTTCTTAAAGTCTGGGTATATAAGCATGACATCCTCTGATGCTAGTATGTTTCTTAACCAATGGAAGGCTTCGCGTTGCGTGTTGTTAAATTCTACCGGTATTTTTCTAGACATATGCTTGCTTATTGTGCCGTTTTCACCCTTTAGCATACTTGTTAAAGGTCTCGCTATGGACACGAAGTCCTTGACGAATACCCTTAATAACTAGCCAGGCCTAGAAAAGATCTCAGAGCATATAAGTTTTTTGGTTCAACATACTCTTGGATCGCCTTGACCTTTTCGGGGTCAGTTTTTGCTCCTTCTCTAGTGACAATGAAACCTAAATATTCGACACTTTTTTATACAAAATTTCGTTTTTTCTTTAGACACTCTCCTGTTAGCGTCGCAAAGGCGCTTAAGTACTACGTCAATGTGTCAGACGTGGCCGGCCTCATTTTCAGAGAATATTATTACGTCGCCAACGTAGACGTTACATATTTTGCCAATTTATTCTCGAAGAACATCGTCAATTGCACTTTGGAAAATGCTTCCCGCATTCTTTAAGCCGAAAGTTAGTCGACAGAATTTATATTTTCCACCGTTTACCGAGAAGGAAGCTTTCTCTTAATCTTTTTCTGCCAAATAAATCTGGTGGTAACTGGATTTTAAAGCTAGCGTAGTTAAAAATTAAGCCTTTCCAAGTTATCAAAGCTGACCATGGAGGACCGGTAAAAGAGTTCATCTGCCAGTACGTTGTCGCCGAATTTGTGGCGTGCTCTCGACTCCAACGATCTTACTGGAGTAACGCATTCCACCTGCTGATCAATGTGGAGGATGACGGCCAATTGGAAACCCTTGATTGTGCTGGACCGGATAGCTGATGTGCGCACTCCTTCGCTGCCAATGACGATCATATCCCCGACTCGATTATTTCTGGAGGTGGACTTCTACTTGTTTCTTTTATGCAATTCTTTCAGATACTCGGATTTCCAGCGCTGGCAGAAAAGCTGATTCAAAACTAAAGCGCTGCCACCGATTTTGTAGCCCTGAATATCTGGGTGACAGCAAAGGGCTTTCGACTAAAAAATGTCGACTTAAAGCTAGCGGGTCGGTTGGATCTTTGGACATTTGTGAAATTCGCATAGATTTGAGTCACGCTTCTACAGGATAGTACAAAATTCAAAAAAGTAGAACATTTTTCAAATGTATGCTTGACCGTCGCTTCCCGGAGGACGTCCATGTGCGGTGCCTCGGGCAGAATGTTATGGAGTGCCTTTGACGCTTCAACAAACGTCTTCTCATTATCAGACTGTATTCGACGTGGACAACCCTTTCTCCCCACCAAATGTGCAAAGTCTCCCAAGAAAGTATCCGTCGTCTTATCGGTTCAAGAATGAATGCAAGTTGCAGCTCTCACAGGATACAGGACATTTTGAATTCGAGGGAGGCAACGACAGTCACTCTTTTGTTAGGGGCAAGTGATCAGCAGGCACAGGACTGCTCCAAAACGCTGTTGCGTAAGTCAGTGTTGACATGCATTGGATCCCTATTGCAGCGCTTGAAAAAGAGAACAACATAGCATGATACGCGTAGTGTCCTTCCAAAGTCGGAAAATCGAGCCATAATCTCTTTGGAGATGTATTCGAAAGGTTTATTCGCGGTCGGATGCCATTTTAGTGATCGTTTTTACAGCTAAGTCTCCGTTCAAGTATCCATCAAATAAGATTTACGAAAAGTGGAAAATAAGGAAGTATTTACCAAACGCGAAATCCTGTTGCACATCGCAAAAATATTCGATCCACCAGAATGGCTATTTTTCTTTGTCATCCGTACCAAGCTTTTTGTGTAATAAATACTAAGATCTGTGTCCGAGCAGAATATATTATATATAGATGAACCATTAAACATTTAATGAAAATTTTGTTTAAATATTCGAAAATTATCTGGTGGTAGCTATATAACTTATAAACGAACCTGCTGACCTGTTTAATAATCGCGTTAAAAAAACAATGCCTAATGTTACCTTAGAAAATATTAATATTTATTAATATTGTTTCAAAAAATAATTTTATAAATGCGTATGTCTAGTTAAAATGGACTTTATAATCAAGTATTCCAATAATACCATAATATCGTTTATAAATAACAAGTCATTGACTAGACATTCGTCGGTATCGAGAATTAAGAATTTAATTTGCTCTTTAACTTTTTCAGAAAATCCTTTGCTTGCTTATCACCTTGTCTATGCTCCAGAGCGCGCAATGCCATGGAATCTTAAAACATTAAATATGTTAGCATTTTAAACTTATAAGAACTGACTGTTTACCTGTGTACTCTGGTCTACATAGATTCATAATAATTTGCTCGCCTTTAGATGCTGTGAGATCTGCAAACGTTATATAACATTCCGCTATATATTGACTTGTCATTCCGAATAAATCTTTATCCTTAACACTAAATAAAACCAGGCTATCTTCCATCAGGCGTTGATCCGAATTTAAATTACTGACATATATAAACAATAATTAATATATAAGAAATGCTTCAATAGAAATATTTACTTACAAGTTAAATTGTTCGTCATAGAGTGGAAAGCAATTTTTATTATGAACGGCAGTTTTTACTGGTGCAAGCCCATTAAATCGACCAGTAGGCATCATGTAGACTTTAACGAATGAATCACATAATCCGTTTTTATCCATAGAAACCAAGTTGCGAGCATTTAATATTTTGAGCTGAAATTTAATGAAAATGGGTAAGAAGGGTATAATGGATCTGTGCAAATGTGCAGAACGAAGCGAAAAATAATACCAATTGGGACTACAGCAGGTTTTGAGGATGTTCCCGACATTCGAAAATACGAATATGCTGAAGATGAAGAAAACTTTATCAAAATAAACTAAGCAACACACAGGTTATCAAAGAAAGAGATGGTTCATGCTGACAAGCCACGGGACAGTTAGCGCCAAGCTTTCTTTTTCGAAATATAATAATAGAATTGCGATTGTATTATATATGAGTGCTGCTATTTTAATACATTTTTTTATCTTGAAATCGAAATGTCCGGAGCATCCGTTAGTGTATTTGGAAAACATTGTTTTGAAAGAATTGATAATTTCTCAACTAAGGAATTGAAGTGTTCAATTAGACAGCTGATGAAAAGTTACAAGACATATTGGGAATTGTAGCAATATGGATATCTTATAATGGATTAACGAAAAACATTGGTTTAAAAAATTTTATTATATGTATTATGAAACATATTATTTTATCAAGCACCAAGTTTACAAAAGGAAGTTTATTTAGGTGTTTTTTTTTTTTAAAAAAATCGGTATTTCTCCAAATTTAAGAAAGGCAATGAAGAATTGCCATCGTTTACTTAATTAGGACCAGGTCGTACGCTATACCACTTCAATGTCAGGCACTTTGACTTGCGTAACTCAGCACAAATATTGAGTAGATTAATGGATAAGATAATTCCAGGAACGTTGAGATAAAAAATTGTTACTTATCTTGATGCTTTTTTTCCGCAGAAATTAACAGATCTGTTATTATTAGCTTATGCAGCACAAACAGTTGCAAATCTTAAACAAGCACATATAACGGCCCTATTGTTGGTACAGCCAGACTTTAATAAAGAGTTCACATAATATGTAATGCTTTGCAGTCGCGAGTAGATGGGATTCTAATGCAATGCGATATAAACGGCAAAAAGCACAGAAATTTAAGAATGCGATAAAAATAAATAAACCATCACGGAGCTAGAATGGTTAAAAGCTGCTTGAAAAGGTTTATACCTTTTGTGAATGGCTTGCTTTTCAAAGTGATAACTGATCATGCCAGTCTTGAATGGATTATGACTTAAAAGGATATGAGAAGACTAGGTATATGAAGTTTAATAAGGGCTCTAAGAGATGTTTAGACTGCCTATGTGCACTACAGATGCCAGCAGAAGTTGATTTGAAAGTCCAAACTTTCAACCACCCGAGTGTGATGAATTGAGAACAACAGTTTGTAAAAATATCTATTCGTACCAGATACTTGTGTTTCGTGCAAGTTCATGTACCAAAGAATTCAATTTCAAAAAGGAGAATTCGAAAATGAAGTCAGTTTATAAAAATTGTGGATACCAAAAGATTTATGAACTCAAGTTACTGCAAATAATAACAAAAACTTTTCGTGTCATACAAATTTTATAAAACTCACTCATTAGAAAGAAACTGTTGTTATATCAATATGGGTAACTATGTAAAAATGGTAGAAAGTAACATTTTACAAAATCACTAATGGGGAAACAAGTAATTCCTAAGATACCTTTCAAGGAATTTATATGGATTTGTTGGGACAGAATCCGAAAACTAAACAAGGTAAATCCATAGTTTGTGTTGCTTTTGATCATGTTATGAAATATATAAAGTTCTTTACAAGAGTAAATAGAGAGATTTTAGTTAAATTAATAATTTAAATATTTTAGCCTTTTTGCCAACCCTAGTTAAGGCATGGTAAAAGTTATAAATTGTTAAAACAATTAGAAGCGATGAGAGATAATCAAGTGAATGTCATACCCCACATAGTAGTAAAATGCAATTAATACATGACAAAATAATAATAATAATAACAAATAGAAATATTTGTTAGATGCACTTTAAAAACAAAAATATGTTTTATTGAAGGTCGATTTTTAATTAAAAGCAGAAATATGTTTTAATTGAAGATCGATATGGGGAAAGAAGGACAGCAAATTTTTCGAAGGAATTTTACACAAATCAACGCTGGTAAAAACAATAACGCCAAACTTTTACCAGCAAATATAAAAGGTCGAATCTTCCTTATATGGCATGGAAAATATTTAAGGGAAATATGTAGGAAACTTGGTGTTATTTTAACACTGAAAGCATTAGTGAAATCAACATTGACGGTCTGCATCCACATAATGGAAAATTTTTGTGGAATGCAGTTGGCATAAGCAGCATCGGTACAAGTGGTAGCAGCAATATTCGCATAATGCAAGAATCAATTGGACAATGGACATTGCTAAACCAACCACATATATAACCCGCATCTGCGTCTTAGAATTGAAATCTTCACACGTACTATAGCTGAAACGTTATGATTGTGACATCAGATTAATAATTTTGTAAAGTTCTGAATTATTAAACATTTATGAACGGACCGACCAGACGATAGACTCAGAGAATGAAGTGATTAGATAAGCTTTTCTTAGTATACTTAGCATAATTTTTATTTGGTCGTAATGTTAAGAGCCATAAGGTTACATAGGTATGTTAAATGTATCTGAACATATTTTTATTTTACATCGAGTTTTGCAAGAAACGGTGTACTTTCTTGTAATGTAATGTAAGTTGAATCATAAGTTCGAATACTAAAGTCTCATCTATTCACAGGTGGTGCTGTTTGAGCTCAAACGTAATTCTTTCAAAAACATTATTCATTAACATCTTGTTCTTTTTAAATTTTCACACCTCGTCATGTGTCATACCACTAAAAATACAATATATATGCTTCAAATGTTAAAATAATCGAAACAAGAATTTTGAATGCGAGTGAGCCCCATGAGTGCTTGAGACTATTTTGTTATGACCACAGAAAATAAGACGCCGAACGCCTGCCTCGAGCGCTATGAAGCTATAACTCGCTCAGTGCACAACGTTGCTGCGGCTAATGCCTTTTCATTATACATATGTTAGTTTTTAATTCCTTACAGCCCTAAAACATATATGGAGCTCATTCTCCCTGCATAGCTTTTCAAAAAACCCCGAGATATACAAACATACACATATACATATGTGTTGTGTGAATGTGCTCACAAGTAGATTACGGTGTTTGTCGCGAGCTAGAGATTTTTTCTTCAATTGTTTGGCGCTTCCTTCGGCTTTTTGGGAGACCCTTTTGTGCCTGCGGTAGCAAAGGGCACTAAAATTTAAATGCTCTATTATGTACATATTACTTCGTTCATTCAGGCATAAAAAGAAGAATTTGATCTATTTTTATTTTACAAAAATGTATGATTTAAAATATATATATATAATATTTTATATTATAATTTTGTTGTTTGCTGTGGGGAACTATTTTGCTTAAAATAAAAAAAACTTATACCCGATTCGCTCCTACTCTCGCTCTTCTGCGTTGCCACCATCCATCCCCAATAGCCTGACCACACCACAAAAACGATATCGGCGCGGCCGATAATATCGAATACTTCATAACAAGAAAATATCTCGACGCTGCCGATAATGTCAAATGCAACACATGAATTTGTTAGTTTCAAGGTCCATACCCCATTCAGCGAGCTAGGCAAAGCTACCGGACGTGTCAAGTATGAACCGAGCACTCAAAAGGATTAAACCTTGAGATGCTTATATGTGCGTATGTATCGCATATAAATCAGTATACCATCCTGGCCGCCTACAACCGGCGTTACAATGCTAATTTTATCATTGTTAATACACGCCGATAAAAATCGATGTCGACCTCCCTTCGAAGGATCTCATAGCCAGGCACCCCGAAGTTTATACTTACTAATAATCCAGAATCTGTAAATTGTGCGATAATTGTAAGTTGCCCGAAGTGTGCTGTGGATTGTTCTTTTTGATTTCTATACCGGTCTACATAATATTGGTGGATAAGATCAGCAGTTTCGAGAGCATGGAGGTCTAGTATGCTTTCAATCTCTGATAAAATTTTAACATCAGATGTTTTTGCGTCTCCAATTTTAAAGCAAGATATCATAGTGCGGAGTGTTTCCCTCAAGTTTTGGAAAAAAGCTGGCGGTCGTCGTTTCTAAAATTATAATTTATATGATAAGATCTTAGCCGGTTTTAATCTATACTTACATCGAGATTAGACTGAATAAGGTCATATATTATTATTGACAATTCTCCCCAAATACCGTCCAAAATTCTACCAAAGTTGACTTCATTAAGAGTATCATAAAGCGTCGTTAATGAGCGTTCTAAGTACATCATCAGCCTTTCCATTGAATTTGAGTCTTTATGGAGTACTTCTGCACCTTCTGTTAAAAACCTACGAATAGATGGAGACATCTTGCGGGCAACATGTTCTATTATTTCAACAATTTGATTACGCTGTGTATCAAGGGCATTATCAATAACAGCTTTTATAGTGTCGGAACACCGTTCAGCCTCCAGATTAGTTCGGTATTCTCCTATTCGTCGAATCACATCATCAGTACCCAGTTCCTAAAAAATTAATTGAAATTATTTTATTAATAAATTGATAATATATTAATATTTAATGTTTTTTCAAATAATTCCTTATTCAAAAAAGTTCGAAAATCATTTTAATCTACAATCCTCAAAGGATTTAAAAACTGAATCATTCATAATTTTTTTGATGCATTTCAAAAAAAATAAAGCCACTACTATTTCTAGATTTTTATTTTAAATATTTTATAGATAAAACAGGTAAGAGGTTTTAGTCGGGGGCCAGATAGAGTAAGACTGCTGAGAGTGGGTAAGGGTAATTCATCGTCGGCGTGTGGAAGAATTCTGAGAAAGGAACTTAAAAATTGAAAATGTTCAATTTTTGCGACATGCTACTTGTGCACACGCACATTCTTTCGAGTAAGTTGTGTGATATTAATAAAGGGTTTGGCCTCTTCATGTGCAAAACTCCTATTTTCCATGCTTGTTGTAAGGGTACCTGAACGTTGGCATGTGTGCATGACAACTTTTGGGCCTGCTAAGCACAGACACTTACACACTTTTCTATATGGATAGACGCATTTGCGTTTGTGTGCGTGTTGGTTGCTTGCCTGCCTGCAAAATTGACAAGATTTGAAGTTTTTGGCATTTCTGAATTTCGAGCTCTACACACACACACAAATATGTGCGAATGAGCCGATCAAGGGTTTGTCGTGAGACAGAGATATTTTCATCAATGGGTGCGTACATTTTGGGCGACGGGCACGGTCTTTGTTTTTTGTTACATGCCTGCGGTGGGCTTGCGGCCGCGTAAGGCACAAATGTGTTAAGGGTCAATAAAAACAAGTGATCCCCACTTGACACTCGCTCGTTTACACTACATAAAATCTTAATAAATATGTGTTTCAGCGTTTTGGCAAATGCCACCCGCAACAGTGGTAAATTGGCGGAAAACGTTCATATGAAAGTTTTTTGTTTACCGTCCGATCAGTATCAAAATCATTTTTAAGCATTTTGAGAACGTTTATTTTATACAACGGGCGAGGCCCGCTAGTATAAACATTAAATATGTTTCTGACAAGCATAAGGGATCTTTTTCGACATTGGTAAGTATATATATTCATTATCAACATCAGTAGTCAACTTAATCTTATCATGTCTGTCTGTCTGTTCGTATGTATGAACGCGTCGAACTCAAAGATTAAAAGATCAAATTTTGAACGTAGGTCAGCATCAACAGCCGAGTCGATCTAACCATGTCCGTCTGTCCGTATGTATGAACGCAAGGATATCAGAACCTATAAGAGCTAGCTAGAAAATCTATAACGGAATCCTGTTTTTGAGAAAATTTGCTAAATAATAAGATCTAGGACCACCAAACTGCACATGTGTCTTCTGGAATAGTATATATAAATCAAGTATCTTGCATTTTATAGCTATCACCACCTCCCCGCTCCTAACTCATAGATATAAATCTAAAAAATAAACCCATTTATACTGCCCACCAATATAAGCCACAATTTAAATGCAATTGACTTTTTAAAAATATGCATATATTCTATAGCACAATAAGATATACTGTAGAAAAGTTTATCAAGATCGTTTAAGAAACACAGAAGTAATTAAAGAAAACATGTTTTGGCTGGCCAAAAATTGGGGCAGGAAGCGCAAATTGCAAGAATTTCTGTATATATGTACACAAACACATTTATGCGAGCCTTCTTTGCATTCTATCAACAGCATTGCAATTGCGATTGTATTGTTTTCTGTGCTGCTATTTTAATTCGTTTTTTTCTCACTAAGATTCAGTTATTGGTGTGGCTGTTGAGTAGAGGCAGCGGCAAGTAGTGCGGCTGTTGCAAGTTCGAACTCTAGTAAGGAAACCATTTTTTTTAAATTTATTTTTGTATACTACTAATGCAATGAAAAAGAGAGTTCGCGGTATCCCCTAGTTGGGAGCTCCCGACTAGAGCCTCTTACTTGTTTTTTTTTTTGTTATAATATACATTAGAAGAAACACAAAATTTGGTGTGTAGGATCTCAACTCCCCTCCGACACTTGCCGTTGAATAATTAATTTCGATTCTGAGCACTCTACATAGGTGACACCAACAACAATGGATTGAGCAGGACGCTACCGATACCATTGCTGAATTCATCGTAGGCGCAAACTAAGAAATTCATTGCTAAACCACAAGGCTAATATGTCGATACATATGTATGTAGATTTAGTATATAGGAATTCTTGCGCTTTGCGCTAGTTGCCCCTGACACGTGGCTTAGTAGATTTATCGTGCATTAAAACAGTGGTTGATTTATAGTTCTGAGGCGGGTTGTGGTAGCTATAAAATGATAGATATTTGAATTGCTTATACTATTATAGAAGGTATTTGTCAAATTCGGGGACTGAAGCTATTAAAACCAAAGAGGTTTGCTTAAAGAACAACATTTCGATACGGGGAAATGGGGCAAGTTATCGATTATCGCAAACAAACACGTACTGCGCGGGCACTTGGAAGACCTACGTTCAAAACTCATGTCTCTAGCTGTTATAGGTTCTGAGAGCGAGATACGGGCGGACGGACTTAATTAGATCGACTCGATATATATATATTGTGTGGTCGGAGAACCCACATTCTGCCTATTGCATACATTTTCACAAAACGATAATTCCCTTTAACCGATTGTCAATAGTTTCAGAGTATTAAAATAAAGGGCAAATCCACCACCTACGAAAGTCCAAATCAGTCGGTGATTTCTATTATTATACCGTGATGGCGGCACGATTGCCAAGTGTCGAGCAGTAACGATACTACTTGACTATGTATTTAAAATGTATGAAAAAATACCGTTTGTGTTTGCACTGGTTTCTATTTAAAAATGAAGAATAAATAATTTTAAGTAAGCAGTCTTTTCTTATTTTCTCTATATTTTTATTTCACAACTTGTTACGTGCTTATTTCCCTTTGGGCCGTGACGGCTGGCTCATCGGTTCTTAAGGGTAGCCATTCCTGTCCTGCAGTCCGCAAAATCATTATCAACACTTTTACACTAAACATCTCTAGCGAGCTTATGCATTGTTCATTATACATTCATTATACAGCGAAAACAGATTAGCCGCTTATGGGCGTATGTTGTCGTTGAGTTCGATGCCCTCGACGTGGACTTTCGGGCTGTGATTATGTTTTTTTTAAACATTTATTTATATAAATGCGTAGCGATTCGGTGTTTTTTGCCAAGTTTTCAATTAAATTTTTTCGTTTGATGATTTCTTGAAAATTTTAAGTTTTGCTGCCCCACACACTGCTACTGTCTCTCGCTCTCTTTCTCTTTCCCAATCGCATCACCTATTTGCATGTGGGAAATGCAGCATCTCGCCGACACAGTGAATTCGAATGCCCATCCGTATCGACCACATGATCCTTCGCTATCAGCCCGGCTGTCAAAGAGCTTGGCACCCACAACTTCCATACTGTGCCGTCTAACTCATCTTCCGGGCGACCGAACCACACGCGCGTAAAAGAGTGATCTTCCTCAACCTTTAGGTCTGGTAACTCTTGTATAAGCAATGCCTGATATTCCTGTGACTCGAAATCGATGATCACAAGTTCAAGCAGACTTTCAGGATTATCGCTTACCGATTCAAAACAGACCGTTAGAGTATCTGCTACCACGTTTTAATTTGTTTTACGGTTCTCAATGGTAAAATCGTAGACTTCCAGTTGCAATATCCTACGAGCTAGCCTCCCGCTGTGGTCCGTGATGCACTACACCTTCTATGTGATGGCCAGTATTGACGATAAGCACTCATTTTCTGTGACGTAATAGTTTCAGTGGTACTTTTTCCGTCAGTGGTGTGGCTATGATCGCATAAAGCTCATGGACAAACCGACTGCACACTGCGCGAATGAGGCACTTGAATTCGCTTAATAATATGACTCCGTCGGGGTCCATGCATAGCGTGCTACCACCAATAAAAAAGCTGATGTATTTCAAAACTTTAAAACCGAGCTTCGATTTGTTCACTTCTGTGGAGAGACTTGCTTTTGTTAATCACTGCCCCACTCATCGAAGGTAAGTTAAAAAGGTTTGGAAATCTAAGGGAAGTAACCAGCAGATTGTCCGATAAACAAAAACGAGTCAGTGTGCTGCGCTGTATAACTCAAACGGAAAATCTCGAAATAAATATATAAGGGACTGCTTGGGACGGTATGTGGCTTACTTTTTTCATCTTGTTCGGCTTGCCAATAGCGAACTTCATCTCTACACTATAGATATAGAGATCTGGTCTACTCCTCTAGCTCCACCTTATCCACTTCATTATCCACTACTTTCTGCATCGCGGGTGATAACGGGTAACGATCTTTCAACGGTTGGTTCATCGATTCCAATCCACTATGTTTAAATAACAAAAATTCCCGCTTGACCGCCTCCATCGCGTACACCTTCTTCGCCATGCTCTCCTTCAAACGCCGCCTTATTATTTTTACCAGTTCCCGGTCTCGTATCTCCTGTTCCTAAAAGCCACCCACCTCCTTCCTCGGGCACTTATATTGGTGTCCTCGTCATCAAACCTGACGCTGCACCGTTCGAGTTTCGGGGACGCTCTTTCCTGTACTTTGGCATACGCTTCTCCGACTGGAAGTTATCGGCACTCCAGTCCTCTACCCAGAAGTTTCGGTTATTGGTATCGCGCAGTTACCCATTTACTCAGCCTTGCCTGAGTATCCGCAATGAAAACTGAGCTGCTGGATGAATACTCCCCCCCCCCCTCTCCCCTTCGGTGGCACCAGCGGAGAATATGTTTTCCGGTGTGTCCCTTTGTGGTCTTTCGCGATGTTTCTGGGTCAGACCCTGCATTTACTTTGTACCGTAAAAAGTTGAGTTCGATGTGGATTTTCAGGGTTCTCATTATGTTTTTGTTAATCTTTTATTTATTTAAATGCGTAACAATTCAGTTTTTTTTTTTACTTTTGATTTAAATTTTTGTTTTTGTCTTTATTCGGCACGATGATTTCTTTATAGTTTTAACTTTTGTC